TGGAACGAAATGGATCTAAACTCGTGTTCGAATTAGGGTTCCAAATCCACACAGAAGTGGAACACAACCAGGGGATATCCAGCTGCGCAATCCATGTAATCGACCAGCCAACACGGTTAAAACAAGCAACAGCAACAGCAATGGCAATGGCAAAATTCTTAGCTAGATTCAACATGTGTAGGAGTTGGGTTATTGCTGCGAGGGTTGCCACACCGGAAACTGGCAGAAAGATGCCCTATTTCTCAGGCTGATGTGCTTCCGATGAGTTTTTTGAAAATTCTCGGAAAAATCTGCCACTAAAGAGACTACTGCTCTGCTGTTTCCCAGAAAAACATTTGTTGAACATTTTATGCTGCCTGCCCCCTTAAGCATATGAGTTTCCGCATTAGCAAACACTCCACGAAATTTTGTAATGGATGCTTTAAATATTTATGTGTGGAAGCCAAACCTCGTGCCATAATATATATAAAAATAAATTGATTAAAGGCACAGCTGAGACACCTAGAAAATGGGAGGAAATGTGCTCGAAATTTAAGAAGCAAGGAGAACAGAGGAAAAGCCAAGTAAAATGGCGCTTGAGAGTAGGGAAAATAGCGCACTTTTTGGGCCTTACTTTGAACTCCAAGAACTACTAGTTCCACCCTGGAAAATTGGTCAAATTTCAGGCACCCTTTTCCCATGATTCTGCTCCATCTCAGCTGTTCAATTGATTCGCATGATTCATGTACATTCAGCTGGCTACGCTCAAACATGAATGATGAGTTCATTTGTGCTGATGGGCAATACATCAATCAATCATGTGGGCCCAAAAGCCCACATGGGGGATTTATGTGCCCCTGCCCGCTCTCTTTTATGTTTTGCTAATTTTTTTCGTGTATATTTATCATATCAATCAGACATCAGGGCTTTCATTTGTCTTATGGCTGGGATGTTTTAACGGCCGAGCAATTTATCAGGCAATTATCCAATGCTGACAGACTGTGTCAACGTTTTAGGGTACAGCCAGAATATACCAGGATATTTCTCTACCTAATGAGTCATTTGACTCATTTGACTCTGTCGCTTTGATTGAATTATATTGAGTTCAGTTCTCTGTTCTGTTTGCTGTTCTGTGCTCTGCTTTTGTGGTTGTACACTTTTTGCATTGGTTTTTGATTGGCCAACTTAATGGCTTTGTAATGATACCCCAACCAATTATTGGGCCCTGGGGGGACAGCGCTCTGGTATTCGTAACTTGTTGTACTGATCTATGGACATCGATAGGTCAAAGGTTGCTTCAACCACCCTCCACTTTGCTTCAATTAAGTCTAGAGCCATTTGTCAAGCAGGCTTATTGATTTGAGTTCATAAAGAGGGTTTATCCATGGGAAATCAGTTGGGGAAAATGTGTCTGAAATTAGCAGAAAATGTTGCATTAATCATGTGCGATTGTTGTGGGAGTTATGAGTGCGATTTTTGCTAACCTTTATCTGCTCTTTTTGTGGGTAGATCACGGACTTGTGTCTTGCCTTTCGCTTTCTTTCCTGCTGCCCTTTTTCTGTTGTATCTGTGTCCTTTTTGTTGGCCATCTTTTACAATTTGCCAGACTATGCAAATGTCAAACTTAAACAACAAGAAGCCAGCCTCTGCTGTTCATTTATATCCATTATTATCTCTCTCACTGCCCTCAAATTGTATGCAAATCTTTCGCAACAAACAAAACAAAATATTAAAACCAAATGGCAGACATAACTTTTTCGATTTTCTGCGTAAATTATATACACAATATCGTGCGAAGGCATTTGACACAAATTATAAGAAGTTAGCCGTAAAGTTTTGCTGCCACATAAATCAAGGATTTCCGGGGAAAAAGTCTGCAGCTCAATTATGCAAATTGTGTGGCAAGGAGACACAATGAAAAAAGAACCACAAAGAAATAAAATTCCCAACAAAAAATAATAAAAAAGAAATAAATAAAGAAACAAAATAACGAAAAGGAAAAATATAAAGACACAAATGTCGCATTTGCGTATAAATCAAATTAGTATGAGACATGGAAATGAAAGCAATTTGAAGTGGAAACGCAGATCGTATGACACACGAACACACACACACACACGTGGGATGTATGCGTAATGAGTGCAAACGTATGCGCAATTTTATGAATAATTGACAGAAAGAACTTTAACAGCTGTCTGTCTTTTTGCTCCTGTCGCCAGAGAGTGGCACTCTTCTCCATTTCGCATGGATTCTTTGGGGCATTCGTCCAAGGACTGAATGCCATTTACATGAGAGGAATATACATAAAAGGGAGAGAGGAGGTGGGTGTGGATGCAGCTGCTCATCATCATCATTATTTTAAATAAACATTACGCGCTGCCTTTATAACCATTTATCACATTTGCAGATTTATGTCCCGCCATTTGGCCACTCGCAAAAAAAGCCAACCAGACACACTCGCACACACTCACAGAAAATCAGAATTCAAAAGAGTAAAATTAGCTGGCAGCAAGCGACGAGGGAATACCCTTTTGGTGGGAAAAGGTTTGAGACCAAAAATCAGGCTTCAAATTAGCTTTCCATCGGGTTCTTTTGTACCCCAACCGTCAGATTAAATGTCTCCATGAAAGGAACCAACTCCAGTGCTTGAATTGCTGCAAAAGAATAGTCTGTAAAGTTCAAGACATGCCCAAATTAGCTACCAAAATGCATAATCAAATTAGTTTCATAATTGATTAATATTTTATCTGCCAATAAATTCCATTAGGCTGATGGTCGACCATCAAGCGAGACAATATCTAGCAGCACCAACTATTCCACAAAATATGAGACTACAAAGCATCAGATTTCGCTGCACAATTTATCTGACATCTGGTTAGAGGTAGAGCACCTATGGGTACATATACCAATCATTTCAGCGACTCGTTCTCCTATTCCTGCGGCCATCGCAGAGTATTATAAATCATGGCACGTCCAACGGACAACTGCCGGCACTCACACAGTCAAAAAAGAGCACAAAAAAAAGGACTGACAGAAAGAGGATCAGGGGAAAATCATGGCGAGTCGCTTAGCTAAAAACGCGCACCGTGTCGAGTAGAATTTTTCAATCTCGGCTGCGTTTTCACACACACACACACACACACACATACACACACCCACACATACGTATATGTGTTTATTGATTTTCCTTGTGTATTTTTTCAGCGCTTTTCCTGCTCCTCCATGGTATCTGTTATATATTGGTGTCCGTTTTTAATGGTAATTGGTGTCTGCGTAACCATTAAAGGGGTTTTATGCGAATGACGTGTACGTTCCCCGACCCCAAAACAGGCGAGTGGCCTAACTTAAGGTACGTGCTAAAGGCCAGACTTTCTGCTTGGCTGTTGATTGATATTTTTCCAAGGCACAGAAAATATATTCAAGCGGATCAGCTTTCTGCGCCATAAAAACTTCAAATGGCACAAGTTTTGTCGCTGCAAAAAAAAAAAACAAAATTTAATAGCCAAGAAAATGGCAGACAATGGAAATTGTATACCTGTACAGGCGTACACCTCATGTCCGTTCCAGGCCAGCAACTTTTATTGTTAGAGCAACCAATATGCCGGCCCGCTACTTTGGCTTGGGGAAAAACTTTGCCCAACAGTTGGCCATTTTGTCTGGGCCAAGATTTATGCACGATTGCCTGGAGTTTAATACGCTTACATCAAAAAGACGCTTACATTGGCAAACAAAAGAAAAAGAAACGCCACTGGAAACTGAGGCAAGGCTATCGCACCTCCTGCTGCTGCCACTGCTGCTGCTCTTACTTCCATTATGATTTAGCAAAGTTTTTATGGGCCTGCCTGAGACAGATTAAGCGACTTTTAGCGGGCCAGGGATTGACTGACTGACTGGTACTTACAGTCATGTGCCCGAGGTTAAAGTGCAACAATTTGATGGCTGTCCGAAAAAGCAGCGTCTCCACTCGAATGGGGATTTACATTTGTCAGCGTTTCTCGCTCTCTGTCCTTCTGTCTCTCTGTGTTTTTTCTGTATTTTTTTGTTGCGTACAAAATGCTTTTAGATGAGTTTTCTCTGCTGACTGTGTGTGTGTATATGTGTGTCCCACTTGTCGACAGGAAACGGATATGGCAAAAGCTGCTCTAATAAATTCCACTTTGATGTATTTGCGCTGACAACTCCCTCGGGCATTACATTCGAGAGAGCTCAGCTCCAACTCTTGCCCTTTGCCGCTGCCTCACCAACTTATTCCAATGCCAGACGCATCTCCATTCCAATCATAAACTTGACTCAATGCCGTCATCAGCAATTACGAATGTCTTTCCAACAACACACAAAAAAAAAGGAGAGGATAAGCAATTTTGGCGGTAGACACCGAAAAAAGTACAGGAAAAAAGGACAAGTCACAAAAAAATGGACAAATATCTCAAGAAAATTGCAAATACTGTTTTAGGGCGCAGTAATTTTCCGCTGGCTCTTCCCCTGGCACCGGGCTGTCGGAGCTGTTAGCTACTGGCAAATATTTGCCTTATTGAAATGTATCCATGTCTACAAGGAAAAGGCAAGCAGCACAAACAATCTATTCCGTATCAAATGGTGTTTGGCCTATGACAACACGGCGCACGAAACAGGCCTGAAGCCTGTAAGGGTAAAGCAGAAGGAACTACATTAAGCAAATGTTGTAGAACATCTAGGAGACAAGAGCTTAGAAAAGTTGTGGAACAGCGAGAACCGATTGTCTATTCAATTTTGAACATACTTCGGATTGTAAAGAGCACCACTAGAAATTTTAGCTGCCATTTTACCATTCCCCTCCCAAGGCCCAACCCAGACAACTTTTGCCCCTTTAAAATCTCTTCCCAGTAGCCTTTTCCCTACATTTTCCTTAGTACATTTTAAACTTTTCTCTCTCCCACATTCCATTTGGCTGTCTCGACGTGTAGAAAATTATTTTAAAGCAAAAAAAAAAATTCTGTAAAATTCGTGAATAAATTCCCGAAAGTTGTCTACAAAATTTCCGCAACGCGGCACAGCGCTGAAAATGCAGGCCCATCATGCCATGCCGGACTTTCGCTGCCGCAACAATTGCCAGCACAAGGAGTGCCAGCGGCATGCCCCACTGGGCATCATCGATCAGCACACGCAATGCAAGTGCTTGGGCGAGGTGAATGCCTCCTCAATATTCCTGGAGAATGTCTTGGATCTGGCCAACACGCTCGCACAGATCATGATCACGTGCGGACTGCACGAGTGCAAGGCCAAGTCGACGGTGGACATTATTACGTATGCATTCCTGCACTACGATCAGGTGTGCTACTGCATCGATACGACGCCCAAGAAGCGACTGAGGAAGGAGGATCTGTTCCACGAGCTGGGCAAAAAGTCGCTAATGAACAAGGTGGAGGCACATCTGGCCTATGCCATTATCAAGCGGGGCTTCAAGGCCTTCTACTACGAGCCCAAGGCGGAGCTGACATACGATGAGCAGGGCAGACCCTCCTATAACGACGAGTGCGTGTGGGTGCATGCCGCGCGAAAGTCTGCCGAGAGCTATGCCCGCTTTGATGGGCTGTCCTGCAGCGAGCAACTGGCCTACGAGGCCAAGATAAAGATTGCCTACAAAAAATTCTACGATCGCATGCAGACGCGCAAGCGGCAGCCCGAGGGTGACGATTGCAATTGCTGTTTCTGTGCCAAGAAGCGGGGACATTTGGTGTATGCCAAGGAGCCAGCGCCCTGCAGCACCAAGAAGAAGCCCAAACACGTCTGCCCCTACTGCTGCAAGAAGAAGCAAAAGAGCTCGTACGTCCATCCAGCGCGACAGCCCGCCAAGTGCCCCAAGTGCCACAAGTCGCGCAAGTTCTGTTGCTGCACGAAGCTCGACTTTAATCTTCAGTGGGTGCGCAGCATTTGGGAGCGACCTGACTTCAATCAGTACTACAAGAACGAAATTGCCGAGATTGAGGATCGCCTGGTCAAGGGCTCGTGCTGGCTGCCGCCAGAGCCGCTGGCCGACCAGCTCGACGGCGAGGAAGGTGAAGAGGAGGACGCTGGCCATGCCATACCACCCGATACGCTGCTAGCTCTGGGCGGGAAGACTGCCGCCATTCCTGAGGCTCCAGAGGCTGTTGCTGAGAGGGCCTCAGACATGGCCAATGACGTGGCAGAGGAGTAGCTCCCAGTGAATTATTTGCTAACCGCATTCTAAATTGAATGGAAAACTATCTACAAAACATTTTAAGCTCTAAATTAACTGTAAAATACAATGGAAAATGCACAGAAACAACAACCAAGTGGATGGAAGGATTGCTATGGGGCTCTGTTTTTCTTCTCTCCACAGTCCCAACAGTTTGACTCCCACAACTGCAACTGCAGAATCAGCTCTCTCTCTCTCTCTGTCTCTCTTGTCACATGCAATACGTGGCAAAATGACTGTCATTCAGCTGTCATCATACCATCCATTGAATGAAGCAAAACTGAAGCCGATACCCAATGCAGCGTCAAATCAATTATCCCAACAAAACCCTCCCTGACCAAATGGAGCTTCTCTTTGGGGACACACTGCTAAATCTTTGATTACAAACAGACAAATACACTTTTGGGCACATCTCACAACCAGAACCGTTGAAGCCGCAACAACAACTGCGGAGATTGGTAGAGCGGCAACTGTCGAGCGAAAGTGGCATGCAACAGTAATGGAAACTACATTTAATCTGGCTTATGCGAAGAGCTACGTTACTCGGGGGGCACTTCATCACAGCACTTACATACTGATGCTTCTTCTGCGGCTCCTCCTCCGAGAAGGACGACGACCAACTGGCAGTTGACAGGCAGCAGAGCAACTGAAGGTAACCCACTGGCAGCTCCTCTTACCTCGAGGAGAAATTTTGCAGCAGAAATGCTAAAATGCTGACCATCCTCATGATGGGATGGAGGAGCCTTGAACCGGAGGGAGGGAAAACTTTGTTTTATGCACTACAAAAGTTGTTGCCTTTGTTTTTGGCTTTCCAACCGAAAACTGAAGCGCAGCAGCAGCCATAACCAACAACATTGTGGCCCAGTTTTCTCCCTTGATTTGGGAAAATGTTTAGTTTCCTGCACGCATCATATCGAAGGAACGAAGACCAATGAAAATGTACACCTGTCGACCGCTGCAAAAATTTGCCAAACCAAATTTAAATATGCTTTGTGGTCTCAGAAATAGGCCACAAATAATTGATGCTCGCTCGAGTAATTATATTTTCCGCATGTAAGCCGAAAGCCACAGAAACTCGAACGAAAATTTAATTTTATAGCTAAATTATGTAGTCCTCATTGTGTTGAAAATTGTCCATTAATTTTAATGATTATTTGGCCAGGCAAATAAAGGCGGCGAAAGTTATGCTAATTGTGGTAAGGTCTGGAAATTGAAGAAGGAATATCCTTTGCCAACTAATTGGAAAGTATCTTTATATCTTTGAGGCACAAAAGTTTACTTTAATTAGCGGAAATTCTGACAACAAGAAATTGAAAATGGTATTCACATAAATCATTTTCCATTTTTATTTCCATTTCCCCCGTTCGTGTCATAATTGGACTCCACCTTAATCTCACACACATGTCTTTTCTGCATGAGGGGAAAATTGTGAAAATGCCCGGAAAACTCGTGCGAACGTGGCAGAACAGCTCCAACGCCCACGCCCTACAAGCAAATCAATTTGTGGCCCCCAAATTCAAAGGGTGTTAAGGATTTTCTCCGTGTGTGTGTGTGCCAAAGTGCACGAAATATTGGAATCTAAGGCTCACCTGTGACCAGCAGTAGCAGCAGCAGCAGCACGAGCTGATGATGCCGCACATGCCACAGCGGCCACAAATGCATTTATTGAATTGCATTTAATGCACACACCAGACGAGTACGCCACATACCCATATCATACACACGGCCATACCTATGGCATGGCACCCATAGCATGCCCGTAAGATACCCTTTAAATTGGATACTCAAAGATGCTGCAGGAGCGAGGGCGAGTGCTGGTGAGCCTTGCTGGCTTAACAACGGGGAAATGCGCAAGTCACAAGTGGATTTTCACTAGAAAAGCAGCAGGAAAAGCTCTTCAACAGTTTCTCTTTATTTTCTTTTCTTATTGCCTTGCCTCCTTCAGTATTTGTGGTTAGGTTATGGCCCCCAGGCTTTACTCAAGGAGAGGTTATTGTGGTTATTTAAATATATTTAAAATGCAGAACAAGGTTCTATCTGTGATGACATTAAGTGCAGCAGAATAAGTATAGTTCCAAGATCCTCTTTCAGTGTAATGTTTAAAGCAAAAAGGAAGGAAGGAGGAAGGAATATTCATAATTCTATAAGTACATTTGTGTATTTCCAACATACATATGCATGTTTTCCTATACCATTTGACCCTTTATTCTTTTGCATCTCTCAACTACATATTAATTTCTTGTAATTTATTTATAACACTGTTGATTTTTGGCCCCTTCAATCTTCATGTGTGCCTAGAGAGCTTTCATCTTAAGTAAAATCTAGACTTTATTTATGTACCGCTATTAGAATTATTCTCCCATTTTGTCTTGAATAGTTTTGTTCTAAAACTTATTTTTTTGTATTAAATCATCGCAGAGATTATCGGATTTCGATCGCAGCTACTTCCAAAGCTACACCAATCATTTTCAGGCCTGCTTTATGGACACTTTCAATAGAAATCCCTTACCTCCTAGTGTATCTCTAACTTCGCCTTTTCGCGGTCCCTTCTGCTCCCTCGTCTGGTTTGAATTTCCATTTGAGTTTTCTTTGGGTTTGCTGGAAATTGGATTTTATGTATTGTGCATTTGTGGAATAATATTCGTATCTTGGCCTGATATTGGCCATAAATGTGTAAGTATGCAAAGCAGTTGCCATTCCTCCGCATCCTCCCCACTTCTCTCTATCCAATAAACTTTGCTATTCTTTAGCAGAAAGCAGGTGAGAGCTCTAGAGATTTTTACAAGTAAAAGCAAGAGAATATTTTCGCCAACAGATTTCGGCTTTTACATAACTTCAAAAGTTTTTAGTTTCGCATTAAAGTCGTGGGCAATGGGCTTTAGGGAAATCAATAAACCAAAACATTGATATGGTTCCTTCACCTGAAATCCACCTTTTCACGTCACTTTTGTTAATGAAACTCTGTTGTTTTCTGGCGCCCGTGCTCAATGGTTCTATTTATATAAGGCCACATGGCGTATGAGCAGCGCCCTCCAAGACCCTCACATTCTCTGACCAACTGTCTAAGCCTCAAACTGACGCACTCTTTGGCCCTGGCCCTAACACTCTTCTACGTTTATTCCACGTTCTTTTTTTGCATATTTAACGAGTGGTTTTTCTTGGGGTTTTGGCGTGGCAAAAGTTTTAGTGCGCAGCAAATAAATAATAAATGAGGCAACAATGAATGCCACAAAAAGGAGCTGGGCGGCAGGAGAAAGTAAGAGGGGACGCCGCCAAAGCACTTTCACGACTCTCTGGGCCAGACGACGACGAGCCATAAAAATTGACAAGATATAAAACAAATATTTCGATAAAAAAAAAAAACTTGCAGTCTCGTAAAAATATGATGATGAAAGCATACAAAAAGAATATCAAAAGTACGACTTTAAGGCAACAAAAATGTTTACAACCCCAAGGATAAGCCAGGAGCATGCAAGAATGTTATAGATTGGAAATCAATTGCAAACGATTAAAGAGAAAAGAGCGAAACGGATTAAAGAGAAGTCGATACTAGCTGGGGGTGGAGACAAACAGGGAGAGCTGTGTGCTTGTGGGTGTTTGAAAATTCATTACAGTCTTGTGGCTGAATTTCCATTTGGCAAAATGAAATGCAATCTGCCACACAAGCGTTTATAATGAGTAAAACCAGCCTGTGGGCGAACCAATTTCGGCTGCAGCTCTCAACCCCAAAATTGATGACAGATTTAGGAAACCAGTTGACAGTTTGCCGTGGGGGAAGCGGGAATGATCGGTGGACAATGCCGCGTCCATGTAGGTAGCAGTCCCAGCCCCTCGATTTGCATACATCTTATGAATATTCATAGAGCTACGCACATCCATGTCCCACATTCCCTCTAAACGTGATATAAATCCTGTGCTGGTGGCATTATTAAACTGTCAGCATAATTAAATTTATGTTCGACACCTTTTTGGCTTTTTTATGGCAACAAATTTCACTGCCTTGGCCAATTTACTAAAACATATTTTGTTTCAACTTGTTGAAGAATTTATTTGGCTATAATTTAATGCTGCAAAATTGGAAAAGTTTGTGCCGGAGAATTTATTTATTTTGAAATTGTACTTTTTCCATAATTTGTGGCAGCTGTGGCATGTTTAAATTATTTATATAATTAAATTGCTTTGGGGGCTCTAAATCGATTATTCATTTAGTTTATTTTATGGTCAACATTTTTTGCGAAATTTCCACTCAAATTGTATGCTGACGTTTGTTCATATAAATACTCTGATTAATAAACAATTTTTCAAATTTATTAGTACAAAAATTAACTCGGTTTCTGAAACTTATGGGCGCTACGAAAACTCCATTAAAAGTTTTCCTTGGCACGAGTCTCTCGTTTCTCATTTTCTTCGTTTAGTTATAGCCACTTAGGGGTACGGAAAACCACACAAAATGCTCGACTAAGAAAATTAATTAAGAAACAACATGGAGAGAAAAGGTGGGCGCGGAGTGGAGCCAGAACTTTCCGCTAATAAAATTATTCACAGGCAAGAAGTTCCTACAACTAAATGCTGACTGAGCGGAAGTTAATGCTAACCGGCGGTTAGTTCTGTGCAGATTTGAATGCTAACTAGCAGTTATTTTTGTGCAGCTTTGGAGAAATGCTAACTGGCGGTTTGTTCTGTGCAGCTTTGAATGCCAAATGTTTTGCTGGTCAGACTCGTAGTGCTTGGATGTAATCACGTTTCAGCCTTTTGGCTGTTTGCCATTTCTCTTTCCCCGTCACTTCTGTCCTTTCCATCTATCTTTTCCGTTTTATGGAAATTTTCATTTGATGCCTGAACAGCTGCAGTGAACACGAAGTGATCACGTAAGTGTGCAAAGTCCACAGAATGCTTGCTAGCCAATATGTCCCACAGCAGTGGCTCAGCAGCTCAGCGGCTCAGCGGCTCAGTGGTTCAGTGGCTGGGTGCTGCATCCAAAATATTTCTCTAAAATGCAGTTCCATTGGTTGGCCATTTGCATGTGGAGCACGCTCCACCGAATGCCGTATAGTATGCTACGTTTTGTTTGCCATTTGTTGCCACTTAATCCACATCGCTGAAGCAGCTGAAGCAGCAGCAATAGCAGCAGCTGCGTATTCTGCGGCAACTCCCCAACCGCCTGCCACAATTTTTGGTTTTTGTTTGCGGTTTTACCCCCTGCTCCAGGGGCATAAAACCAACATTCGTATGTCGTGCATTAGCCAAAGTACAAATCAAATATTGCATAATTTATCATGCAAGGACTCGAGCAGTTTGTCCACGTGTATGCGTCCCAGTACTAAAACTAATTGAATTATTCGGTTAATATTTAGTATGCCCCAGGCGAAGCCAGTTAATGAATAATTAAGGCCCAATGATAGGCGAAAGTTCATGGGGCAAATAATACGAAAAAATGTTAATGAACAAAGATGGAAAACACTTCAAGGTTAAGAGCAGACAGCAAATACCATTTTAACAGAAAGAGTAGACAAATTTAACTCAGAAATAAAAATATCTTTCATTGGTGTTTATTTCGCTTGAATTTTTAAATGTTTTTGTATCCAGAACAGATGGACCTTTATTTTCTTAAACAATCATGTGCAGAAGCTATTATTTAATTATAAAAAACCCCTTTAGAACGCCACTTAAGTCAATTAGCAAAATTGCTTAACTTGTCGTAAACTTTTCAACTAGAAATTCCGCAGCCCCAAACGACAAAAAAGCTAATTAATTTTTTATCAAAATGTCACATTCTTGAGTCCCCTCTTCGAATGACTTTCACTTAAAACTGTCTGTCAATCAACTTGCTGCCAAATACAACCACAAAACCTCACAAAATACAAAAAAATATAAACAACAACAAAAGCAAGAAATATGAAAAAGGAAACCGTTGGAAAACCCTTTCAAGCTGTCATCGGTGGCTGCTTTTCCGAGTGGCTTTTGGTGCTGATACTGGCGAGGCGGCCAGTGCTGGTGGCACATTTATTAACTGCCACAAGGATCGTCAGTCGCAGGGAGCTGTGCTGCGCTGCGCTGCAAAATTATGACCTGACCTGCGACCTGTCCAGCCACCCACCAAAGCGAACATTGGGGCTGGGTCTCTCGTTATCGTCGCGTCACAAAAGCCAAAATGCCACGGAATACAAAAGCGGGCCACAATAAATAAAGTGAGCAGGCGACCCAGAAACCAGAAACCAGCCCACAATCCTAACCCAAAACCCCCAAACCCAAATTCAAACCCAAACCAAAGTCAAAGGAAAAGTCCAGGGAAAACGCAGCGCAGTTTTCTGTTTCTCTGGCGGAAAATTGCAGCATAAAATATGTTGTCACTGACAGGGAAAACTGAAATTATTACACTGCTCTCTGCAGAGAGTTTTACAACTTTATCTTGTGCTGAAGTTTCTATTATATTTGGGGAAAATAAATTCGAAGTATTTTTCTCTAGGATTTTTTTGTTGCTTTGTACTTTTTGGTAGCAGATTGGATATGGAAATTGTCTAGGTAGTTTATCTTGACTTTCATGGAATAAGAAAGAGTTAAGGAAAATATACAATGCCAATTGGTTATCTGTATTTGCATGGATACATCTATAAGAATCTTCACCCTTCTCCAGCATATTTTATGTACAGTTTAATTAGTACAATCCCTTACCCATCTTTCTAGTGCAGTTACTTGAAACCCATTTCCACTGCTTTTAATGGCCTTGAGGTTAGCTCCATGGGCTGCCGTGGCCGTGGCCACTCGCTAGCTGACAGCATAAAACGGATTTCTCTGGATGTTCAGTGACTTCTACCAAAGAGCAATTACTGCATTTGACGTACAGGAAAAAAAATTAAGGCAGGAAATGAAGCACTGCGCTTACCCCATCCCTCACTCAGGTGCAAAATTGCCAGGAAGCGAAACTGTCAAAATGTCGAATGCAGCAACCGAGCGGACGAAAATCAAAAACATTAAATGTTCAACACAAAAACGTATAAATTCATTGGGGGATTTATTTCAGCATGAATGGAGCATCCATGAAATTAGTATAATGGTATAATTGTGCCATGCATATTTATGAGATGCGATGTCGGGCGCTGGCAAGTGGCAATTAATGGCCAATTGGGGGACAGACTAATTGGAGTACACTCGTACTCGTACTCGAAGTTGTGCGCCCCAAAAATTGCCACAAATTAAGTTTAGCAAATGTTTAGTTGGCCATTTATTTGGCACACTTGCCCGCTAATTAGTTTTATGAATGGAGGGGAGTAACGAGGGGCTCACCAGATTAATAATTTAGTTCTAGAAATTTGTACATTTTCAAAATGCCACAAATCAACTCGCCATTTGGTGTTAATTAATTTATGTAAAAAGGCACGCGAAAGCGAGGGAAAAACCCAGTGATTCGAAAGGCAATTAAAAAATTCTCAAAGAAAATCCAAGCCACGATTTACACAAAAACTTTAGCAAGAAAACCAAAAGATTTCCATCAAACACGCAACTGGAAAAGTTTTCGGTTGGGGGAGAACGGAAAGCGAAACGCAGAAGGAATGATTTTGCCATAGAAATAATATAATATATAAAAGCACGTGCACATTTCTTATGCAGTTCACCTGCCAACCCCAAAAAAAAAAGGAAAACGCAACAGAAAAAAAATTGAAAACCCAGCGGAATAACAAAATAGAAACATATTTTTGGGATAGCCAAACGAAACTAGTGAAAATGTATTCAATGGCATTGTAGAACAAATGAGGTTATCTGAAGAATGGGCAGACAGACTCCGATAGAGCATACCTGCTATAGAGCTCCGTTACACGTTGTTCTCTAATGTAGACGGTGCATGTCAGATCATGTCGTCCTCTGAAAACCTCTCTTCTTTTTGCTACAACACAGCGGTGATATGTCGCTAGCTGCTCACATGGAATATTAATGTATGTAGCTTTGGACCCTTGGGTGAAGTGATGCAAAAGCGATGTAAGCAAAGGTACACCTTTCTAGAGACCAGCGCTGTGTTTCTGCAGAGCACAATTCGGCTTCTCAATTTCACGACTCGAAAGGGTGTCAACTATCGTTTGGAAAAAAGTCAATGGAATTACCTTCCTAAGTATTTCTGTGTATACTCATATATTATCTTTTAATTTTGACACTAATGTAACAATAAAATCGAAGGAAAGCCTTTAGCAAATAATAAAATAAATTCTCAACAAAATACAGAAAGAGTAGGCGTAGATATTAGAAACGTTTTGGGTTGGTTTGGGTTCGTCTCTTTAGATATTAGTTTGTCTATAGAGAACAACAATATGGGTACAAACTTAATACCATCTTGGATAGAGGGTCAGGAGGAATCTGAGGATCTGCCCAACGAAGTGGACGATGAGAATGCAGTGGCTGCAGTGCAGGAGGGAGGGAATGCAGAAGTTGCAGTCCAGGAGGAATTAAATGTAGAAGTTATGGTCCAGGGGGAAGCCAATGCAGTCGTGGATGAAGAACAGCCATTGGTGTCTGAAAACCAGGAAGGGCAGAACATGGGGTTGGCTCAAAACCAGGTAGAGGAACAGCAACCAGTAGGCGCTAACCCCACAACCGTCGTGACTTTGAACTGTGATTTCGATGAGATTGAATGGGAGGAGGCGGAATGTGAAACTTGCAAACACATGAGAATTGTAAAACAAAATCGAAACAACAATGGCGGAGGTCCACCAGAACCGCAGATTTGAACACTCCACCACACAAGCAACAATTACAAAGAATACTATACCAAAAACGACTCACTGATTAAAGCTACAAAAACTATAAATAGTACACGAAAGAGACGACGAATACACATTGCGACACTACGAAAAATCCAACTAATCCATGACGAATAATCCAATTAAACCGAAGAAGAGACTTACTATGAAATAATTTTAAATTGCAACAAAAAAATCGTTGAAACTCAGGGAGAGATGCCAACTGTACCTTTCGAATATCAAACCAATGCTTTACCAAATGACACACCTTAAACAGCCTACAGGCACCACAGTCCATCCAGGACACATGTGGCAGTTGTGCTCTTCTTAATGAGCTACCCCACAATGAAATTACTGGCGTTACGGTTCGATTAGATAGGTTCAACTGGGTACTACTCACCGCTTCGCTTCTGGATCGGATTGGCCATGTGGCCGTAGAGACGACTTAGATCGATGGCCATCGTGGTTGTGGTTGCCTGCAAAAGCAGCAGACAGACGGCGAACGTGGGCCACATGCTGAGGCGATGGCGATGTCGATGACGGTCCATTTTCACGAATGGACTATGGCAAGAGACAATTGGTCGGAGTTGAAGGGAGAACTTGCCAAGTGTTCGAAATTAAAACACTCTGATGCCCGGGAGAAGCAGCAGCAGCAGATACCAGATACCAGATACCAGACTTGGTCGGGTCGGGATTGGGGCCAGAGCAAAAGTTTTTCACACGCGCACGCACACGTTTTCCACTTTATCCGAGTGTTTTGATGGAGTTTTTCCCCGTCAGTTTGTTTTCCAGCTCCTTTTTTCACTGCCGCTACGCTGCCTTCAGATTCAGTAGCGGGGACTCTAAACGGCAGCAGGAGAATGATTCCTTCCCGAGCTCTCTGATTGAGTTATCGTTGGCACTTATCCGCTGCGTTCGTCCTTGACTATGCTAATCGTCTTTCTAATGGAGTTATACGCACCAGGAGCTGTATCTGTCGTTCTTCTCCACTTCGTGCTGTTCGTTCTTTTCACACCCTATTCCCTACTTTTCTATATAGTTTTGTTTACTACGTTGCTTTCTACGTTTTGTGTGTGTATTTTTTAAGCAAGCTTTAACTTTCGTTTCGTTTTTTTGTCGTTTTGTTGGTTTCGTTTTATGTTGTCGTTTTTTGTCGTTGAACTTAAAAATTTAAAAGAATTTCTGCAGGGAAACAAATATTTATATGTAGATTATATAGATATATGTTTTTAGTCGACTTTTTACATTTTTCTACACTGCAATGAAAAGAGCAAAAGGAAAACAGCAAATTAATATAAATGGATTTTTTCTTTTAATCGTTTAAAAATAATTATGCTGACTTGAGTGTACGAATTTCCATATACTTAGGGGGAAACTTAGAGATATGTAATTCCTTTGATTTCTCTCTTCATTTCCACTAGAGTTTTCCTTATTCACACCAGGTTTCTCCCTCAAAAGTTATAGCTTTAAAAGCTCAGCTCAAACTCAGCACTTTGAACCCTAGAAGAGAAACTGAATATCAGCTATCACCCTCCATAGAGCTACTGAAACATTTAATGAAGAGACCTCAAAAGAAGTCAACACCCAGGATCAGGCAAAGTATCATTTTTGCTGGTAATTTGCATGGCAAAGTAACTCGAGGCAGAGGCCAACTCGCTGCCAGTCTAATCAGCTTAACAAACTTTAACTTTTTCCTTGCTCATTTTTGGTGGCTTATTTTCCACACCCAAAATCCTGTCCCCCTTTTTATGACCAACCCTTGTGCGCTTTAATTTTCAGATGGATTTCGCAGCGACTCGCCTAATGACTCTCTGGAGCACCCAAAACACATACGAAAAAGTACGAAAAAAGCCAACTGGGGAGCAGACATAGACGAACCTTTAATTAAAGCCAAGTTAACCCATTCGTTATTTTTCTCCATTACTTTATGTTTCCTCTTTTGGGAAAAAGTTGAAAAACTGTTGCAACTTTTTCGGGGCCACCAAAAATGGACACACGACAAGATTTTTGGGACACAGAAGTTTTGGAGACCCCACAATTAGGGGACAGGAGGCGACGGGCAGGCAAAGAGGAGGTGCTGAGGAAAAGTTAAAGACAGGAGAGAAGCGTCCAACAGGCAGGCAAAAGCTTTTTAATTAGCACTTTTCCGTTTGGCAAGGAGTTTTTCCGGGGCGCTCCTCTATCATTTTCCTGAACACGTTCGGTGCCAGCTGAATGATGAGAGGAAAATTGTTAAGCACTGAAGGATTTTCGAATGGAAATCTATGTAGTTCCCGTTAAAGTTTTCCTACTTTTCTGCATTTTAAGCAGCGAAAACTTCAGGGAAATGAAAAGTTTCAGCGTTCCAGAGGGTCTGACAGTCTCCAGGGGAAAAGTCGGGGAAGCCATAAAATCTTGTTACAATTCCCAGGAAGACATAAACTAACTCCCAACCCTCGAGCCAATAAAATAAAGACGGAAGACAATGAACATAAAAATTCTTAAATAGACTGAAAATGAAACTTCTGTTTTTGGCTTCCCTCAGCCGGTTTAATAAACACCCCACAGGAAATATAGATGGGAAGGAAACGGAATCCACAAACAAACACGCACAAACAGGGAGTGAAAGAGAGACAAACATTTGGCTCCAAAAAGACAGCTAAAAACCCGCAGCCAAATGTTGGTTATAAGCCACCAGAGACTCGGAGACTTGCTAGTCTGGCTAACAGACAGAACCAGAGCCAGGCAAAAAGACACAGTACCAGAACCAACAGCGGAGAGAACAGAACAGTTAAGTGAATAATGGCCAAGGTGCTGAAAATGTGGCCAAATAAGGCGGCACAAATTGCTCAAATACTCGAAAATATCGACAGTGTGTGTGGTGGGGGCCTTAGGTCGCTCGAAAGAGCAAAAGGCAATTTGTTAAAAAATGGGAAAAAAACGAAGAAAACCGTGAAAGAAGGAAAGATTTACCACGCAATTAAAATTGGATTTGGAGCAAACGCTTTTTCTGCTCTAGTGCTGCACTTTTCCAATTGATTTAATAGGCTTTTGGGTTAAAAGATATCTACGGAAAATGGCGGCAAGAGAAGTTTAAATAGATAAAAGTACTTTAGGTATAAAATATAAAATAAAGCCTTTCAAGGATTTAAAATATTTCGCTATAATTTATTCTGCATTTTTAGAAATATTTGAAGAAAACTGTGTGTCTCCCAGTAAGGTTTTTCTTTTTCCAAAAGTCCCATGTGATAATAATGAAATAAATTAAATAAATTAAAAAAATAATGAAATCAAATAATTGTCTACCCAAAAATATAAATCCAAAACTATATTTTTAGCTGCCAAAAAATAAGGCAGGTTTATTTTCTATTATTTCAGTCTCCCAAGGGAAAACTTTCGCCCTCTTTCTCACTCTCTGTTCTACAGCATTTGTCGCCTGGCTTTTTTAAAGATTTCGCAAAGATACAATAATTTTCTTTTGCTAAAGCCAAAAAAAAAATCCTGAAAATCTTTTACGGCCTTGCAAAATGCGAAGCAGGCCCAAATCACAAACAAACATTAATTTGCATAATTTACTCGTACTATACGGTCGGTCGGACACCCCAGACAACGACAACGGGCAGCATTTTAGAAGCATTTTCTTTCTTTATATTTCATTTTTTGTGTGTGTTGTGCGGGGGTGTGGGGTTTTTGGAGCTTTCTTAATGCATAATTTAACAGCAGATCCCCAAAGAAAGAAAGGAGGAGAGTGCCGTGTGCCGTGTTGAAGTTGGGGGAACAATCAACAACTGCGTGTTGTTATTCAAAGCACACGAACAAACGCACACACAGAGCAAAAGAAGGCGCGCACACACTCGACGTCTACGCAATGAGGGGACGGTTATGGAATGGAATGCAGAGACTGTGGGGGCCAGGTGAAGGCAATGAGCGGCAATGGAGACACGGTATAAACGCAATGTCAATCCTGGGATATACGACCGCATAGGCAAGAAGAAATACGGCATGGAAACACTGCGTATACTAAGCTTTAGTCATGGGGCAATGTGAAGCATGAGCTGTACGCTCAGTTCGAAGCATGAGAACACTCCGTAGACCCAACTTTAATCATGGTTACACGGCGTATACGCAATGCGAAGCATGAACACATGGCCTAAAAGCAGCAATGGGAACGGGAGGCCAGGACTAACGAGCCCCACGGAAAAAAGGCCCAAGAAAAACCCGAGAAACAGCGGGAAGAGTGCGAGTGAGTGCCGCAAGCCTACAAACCGAGCAACAGAGTGTAGAAGGAAAAAAAGGACTAAAGGTAATGAAGAACCATTTTCCGCTCACACACACACACACACACACAGACAGGCACAGGCACACACAGCGAGTTTTCCTTTGACAGCTCAATTTTTTGTGTGTGAATTTCCGTAGGTAAAACATAAGAGTTTTCAAAGTCACTTTCGAGGGAACCAAAAACAAGTCCACAAACACACACGCGAGGCAGGAGATCCTTTTTGCTTTTTTATGGCTTATATACAAAGTATTTTTTTTATGTTGCTTATTTTATTTTGGAATATGCTATTTTATGGATGGGTGTTACAGTACGTTTGAGTACGAGCCAACAACTCGAACAACTATTTACAACTCCGCGTGAGTGTAAGTTTCAAACTCGACTGAAGCGTTGAGCGCATTGTTAGCGACTTTTATAAGGACTCAACGCCTACGCAGAGGTGCTTTGAGTGGAGTAGAAAATGTGAGTGGAATCCTTTAGCTCGGTGGTTGCTCTCTCGAAAGTCACTCGCAGGGGCCACGGGAGAGCCGCACCGCACCTGCCATGTGGCATGTGTACGCCGCTTTGTTTTGTTTGGCAGCAGCAGGGTACAGGAGCGGTTCAGGACGGAGTATGGGGCTACTACTACTGCTACAAACTTTTGGAAATTTGATATGTTTGGGTAAGCAAATTTGAGTGGATTCAATTTCAATTAGTTATGGCTGCCTGAAGTGCCTCAAAGACAAACTTAATCTGTCAAAATTGAGAGATTAATTAAAGAGGAAATCTTTGTGTGACCTAAAAGTAAACTTTTCCACCGGAATTTATGTGTGTAGTATTGCTCAGCGGCACATCTGCTTATGCTTCGTAGAAACTTGGCCCTAATTTCTCTTACCAGCAAGCAAGCATTCAAGGCCACGCTGCAGCACTCTGTTAATCCTTTGGCCACTTGGCGCCACACAAGACTGCCAGTAATTTACCAAATGAATGGAGCAACAAATATTAATTAGTGCCCCAAAACCCACACAGCACAGCGGCAGCAGCAGCAGCAGCATCGCAAGCAGAAAGCCACTCACTTGGAGCTAAAGCAAAATGTAAATAAATTACGAGTGAAAGAGCCGCACTCGAGTCGGAGTCGGCAGAGTGGCCGCAAAAGCCGGGCCCGCCCCATAACCACAGCCCACGCAGAAATGTGAGTACTGTTAGCAGTGAGGGCTGTGTGTGTTCTCTCTGTGTGTGAGTGTCCTGTGTGTTTTCTGTGTTTGTGCGTGTGGGAGTGCATCCAATAGTTTGGAGCCACCGAGTGCCAGGCGCCCACGCACAGCAGAAGGTGACGCTGATTCGACGAGGTACAAAACAGCGTTGGACTCAAAGAGATTGGGGGATACAAATGGAACGGAGGAGAATTTGAGTTGTAGGAGCAGCATTACTAGAGAGCTTTTGGTAAGCGTTAAAATTCCAATGAAGATACATTTGCACTCAGGGTAAACGTCAGTTGAGGAGCATGTGGCCAGGAACCTTAATCAACCAATCAAGCCAAGACAAACATAAGCAGGGAAAATGCATCAGGCCACAGGGCAGAGTGTAACTGCAATTTCCTTAATCAACAAGGCAGAAATGTTGACAAAGGACAGCGGGACACACACAGACAGGACACATTACTTGCCCCAACACGTGAAAAAAGCATCAAAGGAGACTCTCAAATTGATGGACACACATTTTATGTTTATTTCCATAATTCATGCATGAGCATGATGTGATCCCTTGTTAGATGTGACGACGCAGAAAGGACATTACACGCAGCTTGGCCAGATTCATTTGCACGCTGTCCCGCACCTGTATGCCGCCCAGGTCCTCGCAATGGGAGTAGCCTAGATGTGAAAGTGACATTAGATATAAGGGCATTGATTTCCAGTGGTTCGTTTCGATAGTTACCCCTCAAGACAATGGCCTGATTGCCTTTTTGCTTGCCCAACGAGCGCCATGGATCCAGCTGGCCGTGCGTAAAAAACACCTCGGCATAACGCTCACTCTGATTGAACTGAAAGCCGCCAAAGTGATTGTTGGTCTGCTCAATGCCCAGGGCTAGACGTTCCGGTGTCTGCTCTGGACCAAATGCATCCAAACAGAGGCGCTCGTAGTAGGACAAAGGCACTTGATTGGCAAAGGTAGGAGCACTCGAAGAGGTAGATGATTTATTGATTCTCTCTGTGGTGGTGTACCAACCAAATTCATTGCATGTCTGATGGAACCAGGCACGAACTGTCCGAGAGAGAGAGAGAGAGAGAGAGTGGAGAGATGCTACTGTTTTCTTAGGTGGTTCTTCCACTTACTGCCTGATATGGGATCGCTGAATAGCTGCAGCATGGCCTTATAGCTAAAGTCCTGGCAATCTGAAGAACGTTTGCCCTCCGCAAAGAGTAGTTCCAGGAAGCCCTCAAATGCCTCCTCATCATTGGCATTCAAAGACAGTAAAGTCTCACAAAGTTGTGGAATATTTGAACTGAAAAAGATTGATGATTCATTCCCAAATAGAGTAGTTTTTGTTGGTTTCTCTGTTTTCACCTGTAACTCTGCACAATCAATGCAAAATAGTTGCCCAGCCCATTGAAGAACGCAGCTCTATCCAGTGGATCGTTGGGCTCGTAGTCCTCACAGCTATTCAGTTTTTGCAGTAATTCCAATATATGATTTTCATCAAACAATTTAGCCAAATGATGAAAACCTTTCTGTATTCTTGTCGAACAATTCTGGCCATAGCTTAGGCGAATCGAATGACTAACCACTTCCATGTACTCTGCAAGAAACTGAAAGATTAGAGACAGAATTTCTCTACCTTTTCCAACGCACCATAAAAATCCGCTTTGGCCAGCAATGGCGCACTTGAGGCCCAACTTGCGGCTATCAAATCTGGATATAATTGTGTCATCCAGGCCACCATGCTGCCAGAGTAGGAGCCACCCACCAATATGACTTTTGACTGTCTCAAGCGAGGATTCTCCTTCTTTTGAAAGCGTATAAAGTGAGCCAAATCAGCCAGGGACTGATAGATGCTCAAATGCTGTAGTTGATCCAGCTGAAAGCTCTGCTCTCTGTGGCAAATAAAAATCAATTAAAAGATCTGTAAAGTGTACAGATCCACCCACCCATGGGGCAAACTTGGGCCATAATAACGATGTTCCGTGTAGAACAGCATGCCCGCATTTTCCACAGCCATGTCGTGGGTGAGACCAGTGACCAGAAATCCCGGACTTATGCTCCATTCACCGCCCACAAATATAAAGATGGGTCCACGATTTCTATGATATTTGCCATTGCGATAATAGCGCTATAAATATAAAGGTTTTCCCTTTATTATTCGAGTTTCAGAATGCTAAAATTTTACCATTTGCCAGGTCTGATTGTTGAGTGCATCGAAATGATCGACTTTTTGCGGCAGCCAAAGTTCTTCCACGGAAATGGCATCCTTTTTGCTATAAGCTCCCGAGCTGGGCTCCTGCAAGAGCAGTTCTAGATTTACTTTATACGGATTTAAGACAGCAAATAGATGTGGTAGCGAGAGCAATACTAAACAGAGCCACTTCATGTTGCTTACTAAATATATTTTCGGGCTATGCAATAGTTTTTATAAGCGTCAATCGATGCCCCTATGAATTATTGTGAATAATTTTATTATGAATTCATATTTTTAGTGCATACGTTCACTGAGCTAGCTCAAGGTGTAAATGCAAAAGTGTGACACGTCTTATCAATGTTTTATCTAGCCAAAATCCGTCAATATATTTATATAAAACGAGAAGGGACGTGTGAGACGCTTCTTACGCGTCACAACTTTTATACTCGGCCCTCAGGACTACATCTGCACCTTAGCGGTTATTTGTCAAATTTTAAATTTTTTATTCATCTGTCATCTACATCTACAACACTTCTCACACCCTTCCCTAGACCCACACACTGCAGACTCGCGGCAGAGGCAGCGCCCTCACACAAAACAAAAAACAAATATAAGCTGTGGGACGGGGTGGGTTAAAAGTCGGAAGAGGCATCGCCAGGGGGAGGGCAGAAGCAGGGGCCGAGTGAAGCAGAAGCAGAGTGTGAGTGAGAGAATGTAAAAAGAGCAACAAAAGCTGCGGGACAGGGTGGGTTTAGCCACTGTAAATTAATTTCTCCATTGTGGCTATAATAATGATCCGATCGGATCCCAATTTGGTGATCTGATAGATATGGCTATTCACTACGGAATGGCGTTTTTAGTTTTCTTTTATCTTCGAAATTGTAGATTTGGTAGGTTTTCGCCATTTTTCGGGGGCGGAAGGGGGCGTGGCTCATATTTGAAATACACTGGTTTCAGTGTGAGCATATAGCAGTCTGGATGCAAAATTTGGTGGCTCCAGCTCTTATAGTCTCTGACAACTAGCCGAAAAACAAGACGGACAGACGGACAGACAGACATGGCTCTATCGACTCGGCTATTGATGCTGATCAAGAATATATATACTTTATGGGGTCGGAAACGTTTCCTTCTGTGCGTTACGTACCGTTATTCGCCACAAATACAATATACCCTATTTACTCTTCGAGTACCGGGTATAAATATACATAACAGTGATGTCTGCATTTCTCTGAATGCCAAGTACCGATTCCTTCGGCTTCGGCTTTGTCTTTTTCTGATCTTTTTTTTTAGCAGCTCTAAAAATTTTACTACTTTCACCTTTTCAGCAAAAGCTTAGCGGGCTGGAAAGCCGCTTAAAGCTAGCACCTCGTATACGCAATGTGCCCCTCGGAGCAGTACACATGCCACATGATGCCCGGCCCTGCCACATAAAAAATATTTTTACAGCGTTGACACAGCAAACGAGCGGAGTGGAAGAGTGAGAAAGAGCAGCATAAAAGAAAAGAATCAAGGCGAACAAGCAACAGGAGAATGCACAAAATGTTTAATTTGCCTATTACTCATACGACCCCAGCCACAGCCCATCCCAAACGTAAGTCAGAGGACAATGGCAGCATAAGGAGGAGAAGGCGCACCTGGAGCAGCACCGTGTGATGCATTGCAACAGTCCTGGCGCATGTCAGGGCATGTGTTGTGCATTCGAAGCGAAAGTCAAACAGCGTAAAGTTATGCATGGCAAGAGGCACCTTGAAGAGCTCATCAGGAAAGTCAGAGTTCCATTGAAGATTTTCCAGAGTCAAAGGGTATACCGGGCTCCCTGTCTCTCATGAACGTTTAACCGAAAGCTGAAGCCTTAGCGGGTATGCTTTAGCCCAAACCAAAACTCTTAATAACTTAGTTTCCTCTTGTTTTCGTTGCTTAACGATAATAGGGATGGCGTGGCGGCTATGAAAAATTATAATTATTGAGGTCCGTTGACGCCATTGAAGTTACACCTCCCACAGAAAATGCAAATTGCTTAAATCGAACAATTGTTGCTGTGCCGCGCTCTCTGTGGTATTATATTCCTGGGGGGGTCTGGGTGCCGGGGGGATTGCCTGTGTTTTCGTTTTCGCGTAATGTCAGTGGAAAAGGATTATTTCACATGAAATTCTCGAGTACGAATGGCGCGAAAAATCATCAGCATATAAATAACATTTTATACGTGAATGGGAAAGAGAACACAGTGCCACGTGTGCACTGCACTCCAAGAGCTTCCCATATTTGTTATGAATATTTAAAAAGAAGAATCATGGTGTTCCGGGAAAGCTTCGCAGAAGAAGAATTTAAAATGAAAACTTCTCCTGAGAGATAATGCTAAAGAATCGTATTAAACAGGAATACATTCGGTAAAAATAAAATAAAACGAGAAGGGACGTGTGAGATGCTTCTTACGCGTCACAACTTTTATACCCGGCACTCAGGACTACATCTAGATGTAGAAGACATCGCCAACCACAAGAGATATCGTTCACATTACAGAGAACACGTAGTAAACAGCCTACTAAATAAAATGCATCAAACAAATTGGATCAGTTAATCGTATTTTCCAATTTATGAGATATTTAAAACAGCAATAAAATTGGTACTTTTTCCCTGCACATTCTGTGCAATAATGAGCGCTAGGTTTCACAGCAGATTTTTCGAAAGTGGCGCCATCTATGTAAATTTCTTATACGCAACTTTGATGGTCACTCTCTTTTTGGTTGATTCTTGGTTTTAACTTTTAAAAATTAGCTTTTTGCCACTGTTTCCGCAACACCTCCAATAAAAAGCCGTCAGTACAAATTCATTTTACTTATACAAAATACTAATTGCTCCCGGCCATAAGCCATAAGGCCATAATACACTGGTTTCAGTGTGAGCATATAGCAGTCTGGATGCAAAATTTGGTGGCTCCAGCTCTTATAGTCTCTGACAACTAGCCGAAAAGCAAGACGGACAGACAGACATGGCTCTATCGACTCGTCTATTGATGCTGATCAAGAATATATATACTTTATGGGGTCGGAAACGCTTGGCAAAAGCTTTGAAGTGTGCGAGCATGCGTAGGGCAAAGCCACTCCATGGCCCACTCAATGCTCGCTGCTACCCATGAGAGGAGAGAGAGCTTTCGCGAGCGCCCTCTCTGTAAAGTACCGTACTTTATGAATGGCCTCCTGTTGCTCGAGACATAACAGGTGGCAAGTAACAAGGGAGAGCTCGAGAGAGACAGAGAGAGAGAGACAGCTTTAATGGAGCTGTTGATTGCTCAAAATGCAACCCCGAAAACCATATCAATGGGGGAGTGGAATGTGTTAGCTTCCAGCGCTGTGGTACTGCCACCTTGACACTGTGACACACTAAAAAATGTCGAGGAGAATTTAAAATTGCGTACAGAATGGCATCAGCAGCAGGAGCCACTCTGTGTGTATGGCTCAGGGCTGCTGCTGCTACCTTGAATTTTGTTTATGACTCTGTTGCTACATGGGAGTGGCAGGCAGTGGATTAGTTGGCCTCTCCAGCGTATTTTCCGTACTGTAAAGTAGCAAAGTTAAATGGAAAATGTGCCCATAATTAAACGGGCTTAAGCACTAAAGTAAAGAACAGCCTGTTGACAGACAGTTTTCTTTAGAAAAAGCTAATTTGCTGAGCTTAAAAACAAATGATAATCTCCCAAGTGAATGCCAGGGAAACTTTCTTTAGAATTATAATTTAAAATCAGTTTCAAATCCCACATCGGTGTGACGGGCCCACCGCAACACCAACTGTTCCTCCTGCTGCTTCTGCGGCTGCTTTCTGGAATTTGTTTGTATTTTTGCAGCAATTTAACATTACAGATTATACTGCAGGTGGGTGTTGACATGAAATGGGTGCCTCACAGGTCCTGCAATAAATAATAATTTATAAAAAATATACACATAAATGTCAGCTTAAAGGTCAGCTTTAAAGCCTGATATTTATTGAGGTTAACCAGCTGGCATTTAAGCATTCAAATAATTGTATTTAATATATTTTGTAACCTATTCGAATTCATTTTTGGCATAGCGCCTGCTAGGAATGAGGTCTTACATTTAATGCGTTGATGATTTCATTTTGTACATTGCTTCTGTAAATGTTTCCTGTATGAGTTTTCCTTCAGTCTGGCATCAGTTTTAGTTTATAAGATATATAGTTGCTAGTCTTCATTCCGTATTTAAGAGTAAATTATAGATTTTGCTTCAATTTATAAGACACACTGGGCGGCTGTCAGCATCGTTTTATTCCCTACTTCGATGCAGGTTTCCCGTAATTCTGTTGGGGGTTGGGAGCACGAGGACGCTGGTTCTGTTGCTGCTTGGGAGCACGATGGCGCTGGTTCTGTGGATTATTTGG